AATACAGGTAACTTTTCATAAACTCAAGCAACACCAGATTTTTTCTACTCTGAATTAATTAATTTATTCATTACTGTTTACATTTGCAAGGCTTGATTTGCAGCCACAGCACTCCAATAGTGCAGTTAGTGCATTTATCAGTGCTTAAGTTGCATGCAACTTAAAACAGCAGCATTGACTTTTTCCATGTGTATTGCCAGCGGCCTTGCTGGGCCGCTTCCACTGAAAGCTACTGTAACTCGTAAATGAGAGATTATCTTGTCATTCCTCTCACCTTGTCACATTTCAAAGGACTGGAGGCATGTGCCGTCACCTCATCTGTAAACACAGAGCCGTGGCCTCATGCTGACCCAGGGTCATCAAAATTTAGCCACACTTGTCACTTGACTGATTTCACACCTAAAGATGACGATGAGCATTAGTGAGCAATGTTAACTGGTTTTCTTGCAGGCCTGGTGCCCTTATTGATTTATGCCAAACAAATCAAAGACGGGATCCTTCTGCATCCTCAGGTCAAAGATCTGGGCTTCTGGTCGTAAGGTCTGTGTGTCACTATAAGTCGTGGGGTGGTTTATAGCCCTACTCCCTGAACAGGCCTTTTTAGCTCTTTCATGTAAAGCTGTGTCTTTTAAGCATGAATTCATGTGATCAAGTTGAGGGTGAAACGACAGTGTGAAATGAGTCATTCTTTTCAATGTTTTACTTACCATTTTAAAAAAAATTGCTGAATGATAAAGCCAACTTACAGGCTGCACACTGAAAAAAGATCGAAAAGATTATAGATCTGAACTGCTGTTACAAATTACAGCACTAAACTATATAGTTAGTATTTTAATGTTTTGTTCTTAAATACACTGGCACTGTCTGATATGTGTTTTAGTTTTCCTGACAAAATCTGAGTGGAGACACAATCCTTGTTCTTAATGTTGGGCTTTATGGCACCAACATGATTGTTCTTCGTTGATTTGTTATCTTAGCTCCAGGCCATGTCCACAGTAACATTCATTTGAAAATGCTTCCCTTTTTTTGATTTTGGCCATTCATCCACATCATACCAGTGCTTTACACCTTTTTTATTTATTTTAGTGTGCAAACACATATGATTGTCCTATGATCTGACTCATGTGGCTTGCTCCATTTCAAGTGACCTAATTCTGTGAACAGCATTTTTTAAAAAACAACATAAAAATTCTTGAAAACGTTCCACATGTAAACATTGTTTTTGAATTTACCCACAATACTGTCGCCATGTCCTCACTTTGCTGCTGGGAAAAGTTTTGATTTTATATTTGGTGTGAATCATTTGGTCCTAAATAAGGTGGAGACTCAAATCAGCAGAGACTAATTTGTGATGCAAGCACTGATTTACAGCTTTCTTTACTTTGGCCTGAAAGTGGGAGAACAGGGTGACATCTGAGGTGCGACAGAAGAACTAGGGCTCATCGGGAAAGCTGAGAAAACCAGCACTTCTCACAAGCATCAGTGGTATTAGCACACGTCTCACCTGGGGCAATCTAAACACACACACACACACACACACACACACACACACACACACAACTCTTTAGTTAGGGTAATAACTAGGTATTTTCTGCTTGGGCCAATACACAAGTGACTGACCACAGGATTCCCCCCCTAACAAGATGTCACCCACCGCTGCCCCTCCTCCTGTAGTTATCTTAAAAGACAAGAGAGAGTCGTTAGTGTGGGTCTCACATAGCCTAATTGTTTAAACCACAGCAGGGGGTCTGGGGAAGGGTGGTGGGGGACGGGGGTTTAAAGAAAGAGAGGGAGAGTAACTGAAGAACAGTAACTTTATATTATTGAGCACCAAAAGGTACCAAATTTGAACGTTTTTGTGCTTTTTTTTATACTTTTTCACATTTCCTGTACATTTGTAATCACATGACTTTTGTCCTGCTTCAAAATGCCTCCCTGTCTGCATTGTGTGTGCCTTCTAACAATTGACAGAGTTCCTCCTTGGGCACAGCAGGGTTGGACAAGGCCAATCATGGCCTGCCGCTGTTCCCGTGGCGACCAACCGCTTCTGAGAGGTTTAAGAGCTGGTTCCCGCATTCAGGCTGCAGGTGCTTCCATCCTCCCCTTACATGCCGCCTCCCAGCTGAAGCCTCTGTAGGCACGGCCCTCTATTAAGAGTGGGGAAGCCCTTTTTACCAGCTGTGTGATACAAGCTTCTCACCCACTTCTCCGACTGTTGTTCCCAGAGGGGACTCATCCCCCCCCCAATTGGTTTGGGTAGCTGCTGAGAGCCAGTTTCTATTATTGGTGCAGACTGAAGCTATTTTGGTGCTTTCTTAAACTAAGAAGACAAACAAACAAAGACATTTTTACATATATAAACAAATTGTCTGAATGTGAAAATGAACTGGACATGTTCATCAACAGAAAACAGCATAAATATTCCACATGTACTGTTAATCAGCTTTTTTTAAAAAAGATTTCATAGAAATATTCACAATTCCCAGGCTGTTCAGGATTAGTAGCTAGCTGACAGACTGCATGCTCTTAAAGCACTGAAGCCCCCCACTGTTTCTCTGGTTTTGGCATGGAGCAGATGATGACCCCTGCTGGTGAAGCCTGATGACCTACAATCTACAATGCATCTGATCATCCTTTGTGTATTTCCTGCAGTTTCTTTCAGTTAGTTTTATGGACACTCATATTAAAACTTTATCACAAATTGTGAAACCTCATTGCAGTTTAATAATTCACAAAAAATGCACACTTTTCATTAATTCTACCTAAATGTTTACGCTTTTCAAAGACACTCTGAACCGTGGTTTATTGTAGAAAATTCAGTGTTTTCAGTTCTCATTTTATATAATTATTGCTGTTGTAAATCAATATAAAAGTGCAACAAAAGTGAGGGAAAATTGTAGGATTGTTTTACAGAAGCACAAAGTTGTTCTTCCACCAGAGATACAAACTGTGTCTGTTTAAAGGAACAAACATGAGAGGCAGCCACTCCATGTGCAAACAGCTGGCACTTGACATTTGTGACTGTTAATGTCACATCACACTGCAGCAGCCTTAAATGTCCCCGTACCGTCTAAACAACATCCTGATTCACCGTCCTCCTACAGGTGGCCTCTGATTTTGTCCCCACCTGCCAGCCAAATGTCCCAGCAGCAAACGCTTAGCTGTAGCAGCCAGAACACATCACAGACCCCTTTTATTCTTGCCCAAGTCTGTATTTGTCAAGGGGATTGTAAGATAGCAGTGTAAGGGTTACTGGTTTTGAAAGTTCTATTTCTGTGTCTTGAAGAAAGCAGAAACAATACGACAACTTCATTACAAGTTAAGGTTTGTGCATTCAAAATGATATGTAACAAGCAGATTCTAGCATTACAGGCCAGATACTACAGTAAAGAATACAGGAATAAATGTACAAAATAGTACCTGTCATTGTTACTGTATATTACTGTATTACATTAATGTGTAACCACCATTTTAATGTTGGTCCAAGAGTAAAGTATAACCTCATCATTTTTTTATGTAAAATCGTAATCCGCAAAGCATAGTGTAACTTATCTTGTCAAATAATGTAGTTTACTAAAAAGTACAATATTTCCCTCTGAAATATAGTGAAGTGGAGATATAAAGTAGCATAACATGAAAATAATTAAATACAAGTACTTAAAATATTTACTTTAGTATAGAACTTGATTCAATATACTTTATTTCAGCACTAAGCACTATTTTTTAAAAAAATATAAACAATAATCACAAGCAAAGTTAAGGCAGTCTACATAGATTAGATGTTATACTTATTTGTTATATAGAAAAGCACCAAAATGTTGCCATATTGATTGTAAAACCAGCAGTGGTTGTCAATGTGTTTATATAGACAGGTGACAAATAGACTTAGACTTAGACGTAGACTTCACTTTATTGATCCCTTTGGGATGACTCCCTTAAGGAAATTGAATTTCCAGCAGCTTACAAAACACTTGTATAGAAAATAGAAGAGGTATAAAAATACGGTATAAGATAAACAATAAATTCTTAGCTAAATATAGAAAGTAGAGACAAGAATAAAAGTAAAATAAAATTCAAGTAAAATAAAATCAAATAAAATAAATGAAGAGAACTGTATAGAGGATAAATATAGATAAATATATAGGACTGTATATGGCATTGTGTTATTATACAGTGGATAAATGACATTAGCACAAATTAGCAGTTAAATTATTGCACTTAAGCGGTGGATTAAGTTATTGCACAAAAAAGAAGAAGGGTGTCCAGGTATGTATGTGAGTAGTTTATTAATGCACAGTGAGTGGCTACCACTCCTTCCCTTCTGTCCTCTTTACCCTATTTCCTCCCCCCCCCCGAGTGAGGAGTTGTAGAGTATGATGGCATGAGGGACAAAGGAGTTCTTGAGTCATTTGGTCCTGCACTTGGGAAGGAGCAGCCTTTCACTGAACAGGCTCCTCTGGTTGCTGATGACCGTGTGCAGGGGGTGGCTGGCATTGTCAGTAATGTCCAGCAGTTTGTCCAGTGTCCTCCTCTCTGTCACCGTCACCAGTGAGTCCAGCTTCATGCCGACCACAGAGCCGGCCCGCCTGATCAGTTTATCCAGTCTGGAGGTATCCTTCTTGGAAATTGCAATAAATAAGTGGAAAAACATAGATAAAACTACTACTTAATGCAGAGGCCTCCATACAGTTATTTGTCACTGAATGGTTTATAGGGATTGGCAAGGACAGTCAACAGAACTCTAAAACCTATGTGAGATTTTGGACTAACATGGAAGACAGCACCATTGTCAAAACACAAAGGAACATCTCTAAGGTGGTCACCCCTCCAGTAGACTTCTAGAGACTTGTAAAATCTATGACACTGAAGGCTTTAATTACTATAGGGTATTCTTGGCCCCAAAAATGATACAATATATGAACAAGAATGCATGAATGTAAATTTCTATTTAGTAAACTGTAGTAAAAACAGAAACTTCAAAATAAAAAAGATATGCCAAGAACTTTAACATTGCTTCCCTTTCAAAACAAAATATCATGAATTTCATGTATAAACACTATAAACTGACTTAACCAACCAGCAAAAACAATATGACTTGCTATTGAACAGCAATTGTGTCCACTGGTAGCGGTATATGAGAAATCCATATTATGTGGGAAATTAAAACTGGTATTCTGGTTCATCCAGTATAGTGCCCAGCACTGTGTTTAACTGTTATTCCTACACAATACAAAAAAAACTTTTTACTAAGTAAATATGTGCACCTAGCACAGACACTATATGGCTTCTATAGATGGAAAACAATGCACTTGCTTAAGATTTTTGCTCAACTTGTTTGTCAGGCTGGAATGATGCACAAGCAGCCTGTTGAGCTGCCTGCAACTCCTGCTTTAGAAACAGTCAAACAGCTGCCCAGCAGCAGCAGCTGCCTCCTCCTTGCTTATCTTTGCATTGGCAGCTGAGACGGTCCTTCTAGATAGCACAGACATGAAATCATCCCTTCACCTGCTTCGGGCTTGGTTCAGCATGACAAGCACACAGCGCAACAGCCGCCCACCCAGCCATGTTGACTATCACCAGACAAACCTTCCTTCCTCTGAACTGCTGAACCATAAAACACTTAAACCTGACAGGAAATAAAAACAGATAAGAAAGGCAAAGCTATGATTTTACTCCCAAAACAGTATGTGAGGATGATGGAGATTAGGCTCAGATTAAGGCATCCAGAGCAGAATTCATCCAGACGGGAAGAGACAGTCTGGCATTAAGGTAATTAAGGTGATGTTTTGCAGCAGTAAATATGTGCTTGTGACTCAGAGTACGTAGCGTAGCAGCTGTGGCGTGACACATAAGCCCCCCCTCGGCAGCCCATCACTGATTGTGGCAAGTCCTTGGCTGTGACCTTGCTCTCCCTCTGCCCACACTGTTGTGAGCAGGAGATGGTTGACGATCAATTTCAGCTGCGTGTGCGCTGCGGAGGAAGGCAGCATATGGTTAGACATGATTTACGTACAAACACGAGCGCTCCCTGGTATGCCCCCCTCCCACCCCCCACCCCCTTTCACTCACAAACACACAAACAAGCACTTACATAAATTATCATGTTTTGTGGTGCTGCAGATATTTCTGGTGAATTGAAATGTTGGTAGCAGGTCTGTGGTTTAGCAAAGAAAGGAAAGTGTGTAGCAGGTCCAATTTGAAAAAAAAAAGGCAATTGTTAAAAAGATTTGTCTTTTTTCAGGTAGGTAGGATAGGTTTACAGTTTCTTCAGACAGTCTGTCCCAAAACAATACTCACATGCTCATGTTTGTACTGGCCAAAAAACAATTGATTGCAACATGATTGCAGTGTGAGTCATGGGGGACAAAAGTATTCCAAAGTTTATCTGACAATAACATGAGACCGCTGAAGACATATTAACTTTAGACAAACTTTGGAATATATTTTTGCACACAACAAGGACTTTTGATTTTGGTCTCCCACTACTTACATTGAAAAAGAAAAATCAGGAATTGATCTCTTGATGGACAGGAGTCAATTGCAGCCAGCAAAACCTGTTCCAATATACATATGGGCACCAGACTAACTGTTTTAAGACATACAGGAAAAATTGTGAACCTATCTTTTGATCAACACGAGTAAGCACATTTTACAAGGTTTAAAAACATTTGAAAGGAGATTGTTGAGACTACAAATAAAGTTAAGCAAACAAGATAATAGAGAGAGTGGATTTGGAGGCTCAGTGGGCATTTCTGTGCAGGCTGTTGTGTAACAACATGAGCTTTGAAACATTAAGATTTATTTTAGGAGTGCAAATAACGAAGGTATTATTGCTATTTATCATCCAGTTTTTCTATTCCAATTTATAAATGTGTGTCTAACCCTCTTTCTATCCTGTTTGTCAGAGCAGTATTCCTGGAGTCCACTGCATCCACATTAAGTGGGCTAACTATAAAAACACATCTCACATCCCTTCAACTCAAAACCATTTTCAGTTTCGTAGCCTCCTGAGTTAATCATCATATGAACCACAGGGGGGTAGAGGGCGTAGGGGGCTGGTGAAGCTACAATACCTTTTCACAAACCAAGCTCATTTCCTGGATTCCTCATCTCATCACAAATCCTTGTGGCCTTCACCCATCAATGGTCGCCATTTGGGCCCTTGGTTCATCCCCTCGTCCTCGACTCCATTTCTCCCTCTATCTCCAGCCCTCTCCACCTAATACATCATCCAATAAAATAATTTGCATACATAAGTGGCATGAAAAAACAATTAAAATCTCTCTGCAGATACTGTGTAGGGTATATAAATCCGTCAGATGTGTCAGGACAAATCTGCTGGAAGCAAAAAGCAGGGAGGGTGTTCACATCAGTGTGATGTGCTCTAACCTTTGACCTTCAGTCACAATCCTGTAGAAGCAGAGGTTCAAGATGACTCATAGATTATTGAGTGCTGAATGTTTGTAGAGCCGTGATGCTTTGTAGTTCTCTGATGTGGTTGTGATAAAAGTGTGGGCTGGGTGAGCTAGACCCTCCTTAATGTAAGGTCAAGCTGTGAACACAATCGATTGTATTCTGGTCAAGGTTGTGTCATGTGAGCGATTGGTAAAACCTAGTAATAAGGAATCTCAAAGATGAACAAAACAACAAGAATTAGAAACTCAGATTTTTTCACATTTTTGTTTTGTTTTTTGATTTTTTTGTTAACCAGAACTAATAATTCTAATAAAACCACAGGTTAGACCAGGCCTCTCTCTCATTACTGTGTCTGTATAACTTCTAATTTATGTGTTTGTGTTTTTTTTATTGTGTGTGACAGTGTCTCACCTGCATGGACACATAGGACAATAAAAATACTGTTGCATTGGTGAAACATTTGTCAGACCATAACTTTACTTACATAAAACATTACATTGCAAACAAAAGACTTGAACAATATATATAAATACAGTCTTTCTCAAAAAAGTGTTCCCTTCCTAAACTCAAGTTTTTTATAATCATCCAACCAGAAAAGATCACTGGAAGAGACGGACATTTAAATCATCATATAATCACCAATCAATCACAGAGCAATACAACATGAAATTAACTTTATCTTCAATCTCACCTGCATCAAACAGCCTTTCCTCTACAGGGAGACCATTAAACCTGCCTGTTTCTATAGCTAATGGTATAATGTACATGCCTGAACGTAACTGTGAGATCTTTGATTTTTGATTAAATTCTGCTTCACATAAGTCTCCACACTGCGGTTGTTTTTGTCTAAAAGTCATACATGCAACAGCAAAGCAAGCCAGAGAGCAGTTCATTTAGGTCGTCTCTCACTGTGTCCCTTCCTGGCACTTGGAATACTTTTTAAAAAAAAGAAACACACTTGGCAGCAGTGGGCCTTTTGCTCACTTTTACAGGGAGCTTCACCATAATGATATTTTTATTCCGGGAGACATGGCCTAAATGATTTCATGTGCTAATGCAATGGGCTTGGCCATCCCCAAGGCAACAGCACTGGTCTCATTAGGGTTTCTAGTCATGAAAGTAGTGAAAAAGGAAAAGCACTGAATGGGGTCGTTAAATACATCATCAAAGAGGTGTGTCTCTGCTCTCTCGTTATAAGTTAAGATAACGCAAAAAGCTCTTCGGTAATGGGGAAGGGGAGGGGGGTCATATGCAGAAATAAGTCACTTGGTGTTTGCTTGTATTTCTGTTTTTGTATTTAATCACTGAGTCATAATGAATTTTCCATGTCTAAGGATAGAATGTAATTTTTCAGCAGCTAATAACACCAGTTGCACAGACTGCATGTGTTTATGTATTTCTTTTTAGATAAAAAGAACTTTATTTACATCTTTTCTCTTGTGATCAATATGAATTTAATGAGATCCATAATAAATAATGTATTTACCTGGGTTCACCTATACTTGTAATTCATGGATATATTTATTTGTCTCAGCCCTATAACTTTACGTGGGACTAATGATTAGGCATATGTTGTTGTTGTCGTTTTTTTTTACTATAAATGCATTTCTGTGGAGATATACGCTACTATGATTCTTCCCAACCACAGAGGACACCATAAATTATTTAATAACAATCTTACTTCTTTAACATCTGCTGTTGAATTTAACTGCTGCAGAATAATAGGAGCAGAAATTCCAGACTTGAGTCACTTTTGTCTATGGCTGTGATATACATTACATACATTGAATATCCACTAGAGGGCAATGTGTCCAATGCATTCAATTTGATGTCACAGGTTTCATAAGGGAGACAAACCACACAAAGAGAAATGACAAAGAGTCAGTTATTACACAGTGTGCAGATTAGAAGAGTGAAGCACCCGAAAATCTGATCATTACCTTGATGTGAAGCTGGGTTTTTTCAGTTCTCCTTCGACTATGAGGTGTCATATTATTTTTTTGCCTTTTCTCTTCGCACCTGATTATTGAGCAATTTCCCGGTAATGTTTTTTTACAGTGTCCATCATGCAATGTCATATTGCAAATTCAGTCCAGTAATGATCAAGCTTGCAGTGGATGATTTATTAGTAAGAAAAATGTGAAAGAAGAAAGACCTTAAGGTACAAAAAAAAAATGTTTGTTCCATTTTTATTTGTTTATTATTAGCAATTATTGTGGTAGAAGGGAATATGAAGATTAAGTCTACAGTATAAGGCATATATCAAATGATAATGAAAACCAGATTTAAATAATAATTGTCGTAATGTTTAATGCCATTTCTCAATACATTTTTTGTTTCTAACAAAGAGGAAGCTGCGTTCCTCCTCTTCCAGTATCTTTTCCTATTCCGTTTTCTCTGTGTCCCCTCCATTCCCCCTCCTGCTATCTGCCCCCCCCTCCTGTGGGATCATGGGAATTGTGCAAGTAGCGTGGCGTTCCACGCTCTGCCCGCGGCGCTCCAGGAGGAGGCGTTCAGTAATGACCTGCTCCTCAGCTTGCTCGCCATCATCGCCCTCACAATTAATTCCCGCCTCGCGTTCCTCTGTGGTGGTGGGGGGGATGAGAGTGTGGGCTCCCTCATTAGAGCTCCTTGTAATGTGTCTGGCAGCAGTTCCCATCCTGCCACTTCTGCCCTTCCACTGCTGCTACCATGTTTGTTTTATAGATGCCTCCCTCTATGCTCACAGAATGACTGACACTGAGTGTAAAAGTGCTCCTGGTCTGTGTTTTTATCCATCAGGGCTCCAGGAAACACATGGATACACCTTTCACATGCGTGACATGTAAGAGAATATTTTGAGCAGGTTATTCCAGGTCCGTCGCATGAGCCTTTTCACAACAAACACAATTCATGGAAATGTCCAATGCATTGTCATATTATAATGCCTTCAGAAACAGGTGATGACATTTGGACGGCTGGTGACACCAGACTCAGGCTAAGCGCTGAACTGTTAAACCAGGTGGAGCAGAGTCTGACCTGGATTTCAACTCTGAGCTTGACCAGGGATATTTTACAGTTTCGTCTTACCATGGTCTACTTCGCATGGTTGGTCAGCCTGCATATTTTCCAGGTTATACATGTGAAAGGGTAGCAACATAAGGCATAAAGAACCATGCTTTTACAATCATGTTGTATATGATGTAAAGAATTTTTGCTATTGATGTGCAAGCACCCCTTTTGATGTGCTTAGGGCAGTAATCACACCAGTAACAAATTTAAAGGCACTGCCAACCACTTTTAAATGAAGAAAACTAAAACTTTAAGGAGCTTTAGAGCAAGTTTCAGCTCATTGTTTTAACCACAGCAGGCAGAAGAAGCTCATTGAAGAAGCTCTGAAAACCAACTGTACACTATCTACTCAGCACCAAATGGCAAACACAAAACACATTTAGCAGCTAGCTGGTGAACCTACCAGAGCATTTAGCAGCTAGAGAGCCAAATATTTCCCTCAGGAGTTGGAAGACTTAAAAGACAGTGAATACTGGACTTATATTTAGAAACAGGACAGGATTGATAATGTTGCTCTGTAACTGCTGGATGTTTGAATATGCAACTGCTCACTAACAAGCTTGAATAAAAAGGTGTTGATATATCAGTGTTGTATTCATAACTTGTTTCCGCTGCTCCTTAGTGGTCAAAATGAAGTCAGTTATTGCAGGTTTAGATTACATGTCATCAGTGACCATTAGACCATGAGCACAATCTGAGAGTGACCCAACTTTACTTCCTAATATTACATGTAATGCAGTGTAAATACATGATGACAATGTAGTGACCAAGGCTAGACATATATATATATATTTTTTTTACTCCAATTTGAAGCTGTTTGCACTCATTGGTTAAAAACTCAATACAAAAACCAAAATAGTACAGTTCAGTCACAGACTGATATTCTTTTGGGACAACTGAAGATATAGGAAGAAAAAGCCTATGCTGCTCTATGCTAGGGAGGCTACCACAAACAAATTTTTCAATTCTTCACATTTTGTATAACATGCAGTTTAAATTTTGAATGTATTGAACAGGAGATATGACATATTAAAATGTCAAGCACTTATGGCCCAAAACTCAAGATATTATGCAAAATTTGGCCAGTTTAGAAGTGAAAACAGGTCAGTTTAATACTAGATGAATTTAATAAATTTTGGCAGATCTGTCCTCAGTTATCCTGCATCTTGCATCACTTAAAAAGTATGTGCAGTTCCATGTTACCTGGCAGGAACCACTTAAAAAATACTTGCTGTCACAATAAAGCTCATCTTGAGAATACATAGATAGGCAGCTGTTTATATACAGATGCCTTTTAAATAACACAATCAAAGACACTGACTTCTCCACACTGTGTCACGAATACTTTCATGAGTTGTGCTTCGTGTTACTGCAACGCGGAGCTCATTCACTGTCATAGTTGTTCGAGACTGTTTTGCTCTATTACATTGATTTTTGCACTGCTATTGTGCAGGAGACAGATTCAGCATCTGCCATTGTGGACTTTGTCAAAGCCAAGGCTGCGGCTTAGAGGTTGAATCAACATGCTGATAAATAGAGGCTAGTGCTGTTTGACAGTTCTGTGAAAGAAGTATAAAAACTTGTAGTCATTTCACGTAATATTGATATAATGATCACTGTGATAAGTGGGTGTCAGTGTGTCATGTCTCTCTACCTGCCTTCCTGCCTGCCTGTTTCTCTGTCTCTATTGCAAATATTTGTGGTCGTTGCAGCTTGTCTAACTTCTATCCATTGTTAGATCTGAACCATATA